GGGAAAAATCCAATGAAAAAAGTTGTAAATATAAAAAATATGTTGTATGTATATTTTAATAAAAGTCAAAAGCTACATGATGATATAGCAAGGTTGTATGCGAGAAATTTTTAAATTCTTAATTATGCATTTTAAGTGCTTATACAACACATTAATACTTAAAGAATAAATTTTAGTTTTTAAAGCTATTCTTTTGCTAGGGTTCTTGCTTGTTGTAATTTAAGATGGTAAAATATATGAAAATTTTTACTAAAAAAGAAATAATTTATGTGCTAGTTTTTTTAAAATTTAGTTTGGTAGAAATTTATTTATTCTTTAAAATAATATATTTTTGTAAATTTAACAAAAGAGTAAAAGCTAATAAAATTTCTAAGTTTGTGTTGTTAAATTTTATTTTGGTATGACAAAGCTTTACTATATGTGGATACAGAAAGTCTTGTATTACTCCAAAAAAAGTATTTACATAATTTTATATATTTATATATTTTTATATTTATTTGTTTTTGTTGACAGATTTAAGTTCAAATTTTTATTTGTAAATTCATTTTTTCATTATTAATATCTTTCAAAATTTCCTTGTTGATCAAATAATCAAATCAGGTATCTATTATTTACCTTTTTAATGAAAAATTAAATTGTTTTTTATTCTTTATTTAGATTAAGTTTCCATTTATAGAAAATGTACACGTAGCTATAACAAAAAATTTAAAACAAATAAAGCATTTTAACAAAGAAAATAATGCAAATTTTAATTTGTATAATTCTAGATTTTTGATTTATTTAAAATTCTTAATGTGCTTAAATTTAAACCGCTCATGGATCATAATTTATTAACAAGTGAAAAAAGTAGGTATAATTGTAATTCTCGTCGAAATTATGACAATAAGAAAAACAAAGAAGAAATAGAAAAGAAGGTTTTAGATTTTGACAATAGATTCAAAACGAAAATAAATGATATTTGTAATAAAGAAAATGTAGTTAAAAAGCCCACGCTAGTAGAAAACAAAAAATTAAAAAACAATATTGTAAATTCTGATAGTTTTAAGAGAATTTTGAAGAAAGTTATGTTTTTTAGTTTAATTTTTGTTTTTATTGAAGTTTTATATTTAAGTGCGTTTTAAGAATAAAATATCAATTAAATTCTTAATTAAAAGTATATATATTATATTAAAAAAGTGTCTTTTTAAGTTAATAGTTTATTTACCTTGTGTTTTCTTTAATATGATATTTATATCCATTGCGTAAAGATATACTTTTATTGTTTAATGAAAAATTTGTTAGTTTCATGGAATTAATTGTTCAATTTTTTATTTGTTAGTAATTTCATATTTCTCAGATGGATCAATTTATTGGGCCGTTTCTTCTTGTTTAATCAATGTATCATGTATATGTTATATTTTTATTATGTCTTATAATAACTAAGCTTCTTGGAGTCTTACCAAACAATTCAGGCTTATTGTATGTCTGATATGGATGTTTAGTTTAATACAAGGTTCTTCCAGCTTGTTTAACCTTGTGAATACAAAATCTTTTGTCATCTCATATAAATTTTAACAGTAAAAAATTTTTGCTTCTAATTAAAAAATATAAATCCTTTAATGGTTGTTGATAGAAGCAATACATAAGAGGATTATGATCAACTTATCAGAGTAAAATATTTTGTAGCACAGAACGCAATTTTTTTAGTATTCAAAAAATATTATATAATAGTAAAATTATTTGTGTAAATACAATATAAAGAAAAAATGTCGAAATGCAAAATTAAAACAATTGAAAAATGTTAAAAATTATGTTACAATAATGTATATGTTTTTATTAAGCTTTTACATTCTTAGCCCTAATGATACAACACCAAATACTTGCTTTATAATTTAATATAAAATTTGAAAAGAAAAACAATTAACGAACAATATTAAGAGATACATATTTTTTAATTTGTAATATAATATTAAAATGTAAATACATTAATTACAATTCAGTATTTTCCCAATTAAATTCTTGACAAACACTATTTAAATAAATTTTACGGGGGAAATTCATTCAAAAGGGCATGTTTTTTAATGACCTTCAAAAATAAATTTTTTAAACCTTATCTTTAAATAACAAAATCAAAAAACAAAATAATTAATCAAATTTTTTATCAGAAATAGTATTCTAAAGCAATATCTAAGAGTTTATTTTGATTTTCATTACGTATTAACACAAATCTAAATTAATATAATCGAATATAAGACGAAGCTTTACACCTGTAAGGTACATTCCCTCTCAAACCTGTCCAATTTTTCTTAATAGTGTTTGTATGTATAAGTAAGTTGTTTGCAGTATTTACAAACTTTTTCAAATGATTCACAGTCATATGTTTTGTAAAATATTTTTCCAAATCACTATAACTTTTCCAACAATTCCAATAAATTATTTTATCAACTTTAATATATCTAAAAATAATATTTTGCAGTTTCAACTTATTGCGCAATCTGACAGGCGTTACAAAAATCTTTCTGATAACTCGATCTACTGCACCAAAATACCCTCGCTTCCTCAACTCTTCAACTTTTGTTATATTTCCTTTTCTCGAATTTACTTTCGTCTTTTCAACAAAATTATTATTTCCTCCAAGAAACAATGTGCCTATATATTTAATGAAATTCTCGCCTTATCACATTTGTTTAAAATAACAGATAATTTCTGTTTTGAAATACCACTAATAACACATATTAAATTTAATAATACATTATTTGAAAACAAATTTAAACCCTTTATATAACTCAAAACAGAATTTTTTGTAAACGAAAAAATTGTATTTTTTTAAATACTATATCTAAATTTACGCGGCTTATTTTAGCATATAACTTTATTATTTGCACTTAATTTAATTTATTGGTTTCATTTAAGGCAATCTTTTGCTATAATGAAGTCTCTAAATCGATTCAATATTTCATTGTATTCCTTCTCTGTATGCAGATTCACAAAAATTAAGATAAAAAATTTATTTTTGAAGGTCATTAAAAAACATGTTCTTTTGGAGGAATATAACCAATTTTACGATATATAATATAAAAAATTAAATGTGAAATAATAAATTGTTACAACATACACTTTGTATAATAATTTATAAAATTTTTTTAAGATAATCTATGTAAGAGTTTTGCTGACATAAAAAAAATATTTGATACCCTGAAATAATAACAAGACATATTCATAAAATATTTACAACATATATTAGTATTCATGAGATGTTATTAAGACATATTTATAAAATATTTACAACATACATTTAATACTTATGAAATACTAACAAGAAAATTTTATAAAATATTTACAACATATATTTAATACTTATGAAATGTTATTAAGACATGTTCATAAAATATTTACAACACATATTTATAAAACATTTACAATATATATTTAATACCCATGAAGCATACAAAAGATGATTTAAAAAAGTACATTGTATTATTAGAAAGACTAGAAGTTTTGTATAACATGTATAATGATGTAGATAAATATCCTAAATACAGAAGTAGAATACTTAAAAAATATATTAAAAAAGAATACAAAAAAATTTCAAAAAGTAAAAAATTACGAAAAGTTAAGGATTTACAATATTTTTTAAATAAGTCGGATCTAATATACAATCTTGATTTTAAAGAACATTTTAAAACTATAAATAACGAATTTGATTTACTTAAGTTTTACGATAAAATACTACTTTTTTTTAAAAAAAAATATAAATCTGTGTTTGAGCTTGTAACTGAAACAACTTTGAATAAAAATGTATTCTGTGTAGATTGTAAACGAGAACTAAAAGGTACAATGATTAAATACCACGTTCAAGGGAAAAAACACAATAAAAATAAGAAATCGGGAAGATTTTTAAATTTAATAGGTAACAAAGAACAATTAAAAAAAAGTGCGCTTTTTATTGTTGATAAGATTAATAAAGAAAAGGGGTGTGGTGATGTTTAATTCTCATTTAAAAGTGTATTAAAAATTATTTTTGTAAGTCAAAAATATTTTTAGTTAAATTTTATGTTTTATTATTAAAGAATAAGTTTAATCCAAGATGATTTTTAAAAAAGCATTGCTACCTTTTCCACTTTTACTAAATGTTAAATTTCTAACAAGAAAAACTCAATTAATCAATTGTACATACATTTAATTCGAATAAAACTTGCAAGCTTATTTTGTAACTATTCTACTATTAATAGTTTATTTAAACTATTTTATAAACAAGTTTTTATATTTCAATTTGTATAATAACCTCCAATTTCGTTTAACATTAAAAAGGTACCCCTCTATGGAGAATTTTGAGAACAGTAATGTGTTTCTTTCTGATTTAAAAGAAAAAAATGATGAAAATAGTCGTAAATTAGTAGATTTTTACAAAAAACATTTCAATGTCTAATAAATCCAAATTTATTTACATTTTCTTTTTCTAACATTTAAATTGTTATAAATGTGTCTATGATGCTTTATATCATCTGCCCAAAATTTTATATAAAAAGGCGTAGAAAGGCATCCAAAAAGATGCCATACTGCATGAGAGTCTAATAAATATTTGTAAGGAGGTATATCTTGTATTTCTATGTACCCTGCTAGAGAAAATAAAAAGGTAAAAAATACAATATTTCTTACATATTCATAACTTTTATAATGTGCATAAATGAAAAAATGAAAAAGGAAGGTAAGTGTGATAATTATCACACAACTTATTTTATTATAAACATAATCAAATTCATTACTCATTCTTGATATATGATAAATAAAATAACATATAAAAATACTTCTTATAGTAAATCGATATTTACATTCAAATTTATAAATTAACATCAACCGCATAAATGACATATATAAACCAAACAGAAGAACAAGAATAGCAAAATAATAATCCATATTCCTTGTAAGTACATTTTCATGAATATGAAAAAGTGTACTAGAAATAAAAGCCATATTTGAAATGTGACATTGGAGTTTAAAAAGATCTTTCATTTTTATAAATTGTATTTGTGGTCTTAAAAATAGGTTAAATGAATATTGGTTGATTATAAAATTACTGAATGAAAATACTACTGAAAAAAACTCTGTCATTCCTAGAACAGGACAAAATCCCCATCTTCCATTTCTTTTAATATTTTCTAGGCTTAATTGTTTAAGACAAATATAATGGCACATATTTCCGATTTTTTCATCTACAGACCTCCGGAATATAAAATCTAAGATGTTTATAGTTATAATTTTGCCTAAATCATCAGTACATTTTTCTGTACATTTGTAGTAAACCATGGGTATCTATAAATTTGTTTATTAAAACAAAACATCAAACAAAATGAACTTTATTTTGTAAAAAATTATCATTGATTTTTGATATTTAATTTTATATTGGTGATAAAATTAACAATTTATTGTTTGTAGAAAATTAATATATTTTAAAATGCAAAAGATTGTTTTAAAATATGCACATTTTATTAAACATTGTTTGCAGAAAATTTATATATTTAAAATGTAAAAGATCGTTTTTAAATTTGCACATTTATTTTTTTCTAAAAAAGGGTTAGTTTAAAAATATTTTTTTTCGCATAAAAGTAAATGGTATTTATTGTAAATGCATGAAAATATAAAATTAACTTAGATTGATTGACATTTTATTATTGTAATTAAGTTTATAGTATTACATTCTCACAATCATTTTCATTCCTATTTTTATCCTTACTTCCGATCAACATTCATTCTTATTTTTATTTTTGCTAGTTAATAGTTATAGATTAATATTTTAATGTTTGAAAAACTTAATATGTCAAGATAAAATTTCCTTAAATTTTTTATAAAAATATTTTACCCTGCATAAATGGATGAGGCAGATTTATTAATCAAAGAATTAAGAATTGATAATGAGACACTTTTGTCAACTGAATACAATCCACTTCCTCAGGTATTTCAAAATAAAAAGTCTAATTCAAATTATAGAAATATTTACCACAGAGTAGAAAAGATTATGGAGAGTATTATAAACATTACTTACAAAGGGTTTTCTGATAGTGTTCTTTCTTATATGGAAGTTTATAATCTAAATTTAAAAAATGTTACACTTTTATCAGAAATTAAATCTCGCATTGACGAAATTACTAGAACTACCTTTGATATCGAAAATATAAGAAATATTTTTTCTACTACAGAATATTTAAAAATCAAATGTGATATTACAGAATCTTTAAAAGATCTTAATGACACATTAGAAGAATATTATAATTGTACAGATTTAACGGAAAAATGTTATAAAATTTTAAAAGCTAAAAGGATTATTAAAGATAATAATTTAATTAAAATAGAAGGTATAGAATTACTTAGAAATGATATTTTATTAGAAATAGAGAAATTTATGATAAAAGTTTACAGTAAATTACAAGAATATATTTTTAGGGATGAGATTCAATATAAGGAATTATTACGAATTGTAAACGTTATGAATAAATTTGATGATTTTGACAGATACTTAAATAAAAATTATACTAAATATTTAGTATTAGATAATATAACAGATACAAATTATATAGACAATATTAAGAGTATTAATACATATTTTAATAAGATACTTACAATATATTTTAAACTTAATAAAAATAAAGATAAGAAAGATATTGAATATGATAATACTATATTATTATTAGAAGATTATAAATTTATTAAAATAGATTATATTACAAATACACTAGTATTTTATAAATATATAAAAGATAATACTAATTTTAATGCTTTATATAATAGAATAAGAGATATTTATAATACTAATAAAGTAAATTATTACTTAGTTAATACTTTATTATTAATTAATAAAAAGTATAAAATAGATAAATATAAAAAATTAACAGATAAATATATTAAAAAGTTATCAAATGATTTAGAAGATGAAGTGTTATATTTATTTGATATTTTTTATAGAGAGAATAATTTTACTAATGATTTTTATATAAATAAAATTATAAAGGTAATAAAACAGAATATGGATTTAATAGATTTAAGAAAAGATATTTTATCTAAAATTATAAAAAAAATAAATAAATATATTAAAAATAATATAAGTGGAAGCATTAGTGAAGATTTCATTGTAAAAGTTAAGTTATTAGATGAGATATTGGGGGAATATACAGATGAATGTATTGAAATATAAAATGAATCATAAGGGGATGTATAATAATATAAGGATGTGTGAAATATAAAAGAGTGCAAAAAAGAATTTTAAAAAATAACGTGTGAAAAAATATTTAAGATAATGTGAAGTAAATACATAATAATGCAAAAAAATAGATTGAAATACAAAAGAATGCGTAAAAAAATAAATAAAAATCGGGTGAAATACAAAATAATGCAAAGAAAATTAAAAAATACCGTGTGAAAAAATATTTAAAATAATGCAAAAAAATAGTGTGAAGCAAATGTTTTTAACGTTAAGATAATAACATACAACTAAACAATTTCCTCTAGCTATTTAACATCGACTTCAAAAATCATTAATTTTTAAATAAATTTTTTATCAATTTTACTGTTTTTTTTTACCCCTTAAATGGCAGTAATTGATAAATCAGATTCTGTAGACGAAAACAAATTACAAATGTTCCACGACTGGGAAGATTACTCTCTCAATGAGGAATTAGTTAGGGGTATTTATAACATGGGCTTTGAAAAACCAAGTCATATTCAAAAAGTAGCTATTAAGCCCATTATAGATGGTAGAGACATTAGAGCACAAGCTCAAAGTGGTACAGGAAAGACAGGTGCCTTTGCTATTGGTGCTCTACAATGCGTAGATAAAAATTCATATTTTACTCAAGTGCTAGTAATAGCCAATACTAGGGAGATAGCAGCACAGAATTCTGACAGATTTAAACAATTCTCTATGTACATGAATATTAATATTTGTCTTTTAAGTGGTGGATCTCATGTTTCTCAAGATATTAAAAATCTTAGATGTTCTCCACACGTAGTGGTTGGTACACCAGGAAGGGTAGATCAGATGATACAAGAAGGACATCTTAAGACTGATAAAATAAAACTTTTTATAATTGATGAGGCAGATGAAATGTTACAAGCAGGTTTTCAAGAGCAGGTTAAGGCTATTTTTAAGAGTCTTAATAGAAAAGAAGTACAAATTGCTATGTTTAGTGCGACGTACGAAGAGGAAGAGTTAAGGGTTAGTGAAGAAGTTCTTAAAGATCCAGTGATTATTGATTTAAGACAGGATAATCAAACATTAGCAGGTATACAACAATTTTATATTAATTTAGGGCCTGATAATTCACCAAGAAGAGATGATTACTCAGTAAAATGTGCTACTTTGATAGATTTACTTAAAAATTATTCTTTTGGTCAGACGATTATTTTTGTAACTTCTAAAGTTAAAGCAGCTTACGTTTATTCCAGTTTGAAAGAATGTGATATTCCTTGTGAACTTATTAGTTCAGATCTTACTCAGTCTGAAAGAGAGGATGTATTAAACAGATTTAGATCTGGAAGTAATAGAATTCTTATTTCTAGTGGATTACTTAGCAGAGGAGTAGATATTCAAAATTTAAGTGTAGTGTTTTGTTTAGATGTACCACCCGAGCATAAGAAGAGTACTTATATTCATAGGATTGGAAGATCTGGTAGGTATGGAAAGAAAGGGTTTGCTATTAATATTCTAAGTGATCATGAATTTATTAATTTAACTAAAATTGAGAAATTTTACAATACTAAGATATTACAACTTACTAATAATCATTTAGAACAGTTTAGATTAAAAAATAATTAGGAATAAATAATATTTATTATATACATTACTTTTTATTGTAGAAATTTATATTAAATATTATGCATTTAAAAATATATTAAAGTATTATGCATTGAAATATAAAAATATTATGCTTTTAAAATATATTTTATATATTTAAAAATGTTAGATATATTAAAATATTATACATTTAAAATATGTTTTATATATATTAAGCATAAAAAATTATATTAAAATATTATGCATTGAAATATATTCAAATTTTTGCATCTAAAATATGTTTTATATATTTTATGCTTTTAAAAATATATTTTATGCTTTTAAAAATATATTTTATGCATTTAAAATTCTTTTTTAAATCAAAATGTCATTTATTTTAATTTAAAACAAGATCATAAATGTAACCCTTATTTGATAAATTTATTAATATTTTGTTGTACGCTTAATTAATAATTTAATATTTTCTCAGTTTACTAAAATGTTAATGATTGACTTTAAGGGGAATTTTTAAACCAATCAATAATTTACAGAAAAATATAAATGTGCATAAATAAACCCCAAACAAAAATGAAGAAATTTAGATTAATTAATAACAGAGAGAATAAATTTCCATCTAATGTTATTTGTAATATGAAATACAGATGGTATTCAATTATTTTCTGGGTTTTATACAACCAGTTCGAATTTTTCTTTAACACGTATTTTTTTATGATTTCGATTACACAGTGCATAGAAAAGTTTGCTATTAGTTCTCCTCTAACATCTTTAGGACCTTGGCTTTTAGTATATTTTATTTCCTTATTTAAGGAATCATATGATGATTATAAAAGAAATGAAAGGGATTATAATATTAATAACCAGCTATACACAGTGTACAGGAATAAAACTTTTAAAAGAATAAAAAGTAAAAATATAAAAGTAGGAGATTTTATAATTTTAGAAAAAGATCAGAGAGTTCCTGCTGATGTTGTACTTTTAAAGGCATCTGATACAACAGGACAGCTTTTTATACGTACAGACCAATTAGATGGTGAAACAGACTGGAAATTACGATCTGCAGTTCCACTCACACAAAATACATCTTTTAATGTTATTAAAGATATTTTTATACTGGCAGAAGAACCTAATAAAGAAATTTATAACTTTAATGGGATAATAAGTTTAGATGAAATAGATACACAGGATGTTACATTAGAACAACCAACAAATAGTAAATATTTTGATTTTTATAAATATTTTCCGCATAAAAAAGAAGAAGAAGAATTAGCAGATAGTGAAATTTATGATTTTTTATTAAAAACTTCTGAAGTTAGTTTGAGTGTTGATACAGAGAATACAGTTGTACATAGAGATTTAGTATTGCCAACTGATCAAGATGTTAATGATAAATATAATGACAAATTTAATTACAATGATGAACATTATGACAAATTAAATGTAGATTACAACAGAAATTACAATAACGAACATTATGACAATGATGAATTTAATTACAAAAATTCGGAAATTGATCCTCTTTCTAATAAAAAATCATTTATAGAAAATAATAACAAAGAAGGACTCTCTCTAGAAAATATGTTATGGATGAATACTGTAGTCGCTACATGTTCAGCCTTGTGCTGTGTAGTTTATACAGGAAATGATACACGTTCTATGATAAATACTTCTAAACCAAGAAATAAGATAGGTACATTTGATTTAGAACTTAACACATACAGTAAATTTTTAGGAATTTCTAGTGCATTTTTTGCAGCTGTCTTTACTTACATGCGAGGATTTACATCAAATGGTCCAGTAGCTTTTATTAGATTTTTAGTATTATTCTCTTCAATTATACCTATATCACTAAAAGTTACTATAGACATGGCAAGATATGTATATTCTTATTACATAGTCAATGATAATAAAATTCCGAATACTATTGTACGTAATTCTTCTATTCCTGAAGAATTAGGAAGAATATCTTATTTTTTAACTGATAAGACTGGAACTTTAACTAAAAATGAAATGGAAATGAAAAAAGTGCATTTAGGAACATCTGCATTTACACAAGATTTAAATGAAGAAATTTTTAAAAGTCTAGCAAAATATTGCAGTAAAAAGGATGAACAAAATAGTATTTTTAATAGAAATAAAAAAGATATAAATAATAAATTATTTGAATTGGTAGAGGCATTATGTCTCTGTCATAATGTTACTCCTGTGATAGATAATAAAAACGTGACATATCAGGCATCAAGTCCTGATGAAGTTGCTATAGTAAAATGGACTGAATTAGTAGGAATGAAATTATATAAAAGAGATAAAAATACAATAACAATACTAGATTCTCTAAATGATGAACAAGTGTATGAAATATTAGAAATATTTCCATTTACTAGTGAAACAAAAAGAATGGGAATTTTAGTTAAGAAAAGAGCTCCTTCATCAGAAATATTATTTTTTATGAAAGGAGCAGATATTGTTATGACTAAAATTATACAACCTACTGATTGGGTAGAAGAAGAAACAGAAAATATGGCTAGAGATGGATTAAGAACACTTGTCATTGCAAAGAAGATTATAAGTGAAGAACAATATATACATTTTCAAAATGAATATAATAAAGCAAAGAGTAGTATTTATAATAAAAATGATAATTTAATAAATGTTATGAGGATTTTAGAATCAGATATGACTATGTTAGGTTTAACTGGTGTAGAAGATAAATTACAAGATCGTGTTAAAATTTCACTAGAAAATCTTAGAAATGCGGGAATAAAAGTGTGGATGCTTACGGGAGATAAAATTGAAACAGCAATTTCTATCGCCGCATCATCTAAAATTTTTGATAAAACGACAGAATACAAAATTTTAAAAGAGTCAGATCTTGATTTACTTTCTAGAGATGCATTTAAAAGATTAGATGCAATAGTAATAGATGGAAATATGCTGTCTTTAATAATGGGAAGATGTTTTAGTGAATTTATAGAAGCGTGTATGGATCTAAAATCCCTCGTTGGATGCCGATTTAGTCCCACACAAAAGGCTCTTGTTGCGAGAGCATTAAGAAGTCAATCTAATAAAATAGTCTGTTGTATTGGAGATGGTGGTAATGATGTTTCTATGATTACTGAAGCGAATATTGGTGTTGGGATTGTAGGAAAAGAGGGAAATCAAGCATCTCTTGCTGCTGATTTTTCTATTGAAAAATTTTGTTATGTTATGGATTTATTTTTCTGGCATGGACGTAATTCTTACAGAAATAGTGCATCACTAGCATATCTTGTAATCCATCGTGGTACAATATTATCAGTTTTACAAGGTTTATTCTGTGCTCTTATAAATTTTATACCTATAAATATATATCATGGTGTTGTACTTGTAGCTTTTATATCCTGTTATACCTTCCTTCCCATTTTTAGTACAGTGTTTTCTTTAGATGTGTCAAGAGAAGTGGCAGACATGTTTCCTGAACTTTATAAAGAGTTAGTAGATAGACCTCTTCTTTCTATAGGAGATTTTACTGTATGGAATTTTATGTCTTTTTACCAAGGTGCTATTATTATGTTATTTATGATTTATAGTTTTAAAAGAGAGTTATTTTCTATTAGTACACTTACTTTTACTAGTCTTATTATTAATGAAATATTAATGGTATATTTTACTACACCAAGGATTAGTAAACATACAGTGATGGCATGTATATTATCTCTTTTCTTATATTTTATGTCATTTGTACTCTTTAGAAATTTATTTTACATAAACATAGACTTCTCTACTTTTTTTGTAAAAGTAGTGATTTCTAATGTGGCTGCAATAATTCCGAAGATATTAACTAAATTACTAAAATATTGGAAACCGAGTACAACAAGTAAATTAGAAAGTAAAGTATAAGAAATAATTAAATAATGATTATAGGAATTTATTGGAAAGTGGTGTATAAAAAATAATTGGGAAGCTTTAAAAAAATAATTTGAAAATCTAAAAGAGTTAGTAAGAAATAATTGGAAAATAGTTAGAAAGAGATAATTGGAAAATCTAAAAGAGTTAGTAAAAAATAATTGGAAAATCTAAAAGAGTTAGTAAAAAATAGTTATGAAAAATAGTTAGAAAGAGATTATAAAAAATAATTAGAGTATTAATATAGAAATATTTAATAAAATGTTAATATAGAAATATTTAATTAAATGTTAATAGTCCCTCTAGGCACTAAAATATAATTAACATTACAAATATTAACACACTGTTCGTCTAAATGTTCCATTACAGTGTCATTGTCTACGTGTACAGCATCTAGCGCTATAATTTGGTTATTTATTTTTAAACCACAAGTGTCATCTTCAAAGACAATAAAAGACATGCTTTCCGAATTAAAAGGAATATTTAGTATTAAGTTATCCGTAGGATTATATTTATAAATATGTTTTTTATATTGTAATTGTAAAGGAGAAAATTTACCTTTAAATATTTGTGTATCTTGTATAACAGGAATATCTTCTTCTTTGACTTCTTCTAGTACTTGTGTTGGTGCTTTGGGTTCAAATATCATTTTCTTTACTGCTTTCTTTTTCTTATTCATTTATGTGGGTAAAATTTACATATAAAAATAATATTATTATTAAATGTTATATTTTCTTATTATTAATGTTATTTATTTTTTACGTATAAAAATAATATTTTATTAAATTCAATTCTCAATATAACATTTAATAAATTCTATCAATTTATTTTATTAAAAATATGTTATACTTTTTCATCAAATAAAATATAAAATAATCAATAACATCGTAAATGTATAAAAAATATTTCTTTAAATTGTTTTAAAAAATAAATTTATTTATAATATCTCCATTTCTTTTCCACTACATATTTGTTTACAAATATCATGCTTGTTATTCTTACAAAATTCTAATATTTCTATATCTATTATATCTGGATAATTATCATACACAACTTTAAGTAGTTCTAAATGTGATAACTTTGTATCTTCTTTTATCATTTTATGCAAATAATTTAGTATTGATGTAAGATCAAATTTTCTTTTTTTAATTAAAATAAATTTTAGTAAAATAGGTGTACAGAAATCATTTCTTTGTATAATAATATCTACAATGTCTTCTAAATGATTAAGTTTCGAGTGTACGAATGCAGCGCCAAGTATCCGTGCTTCTTTAGATGTAAAATTTTCTTTAAGTAAATTGTATAAATCTTTTGTACGCAATAAATTTAAAAGACTTTTCCATTCGTTGAGTGGTAATTTTTTATGTTTATTTAGTGTAGTTCTGTATTTTTCCCACGGTGAAGTGTTTGAGATCTTTTTAAGATTTTCTATTATTTCTTTTACAACAGAGTCATTTACTGTCATTAAAGGGGAATTTTAAAAATTATTTGTAAAAATTTACATTGTTGTATGTTAAAATTTACATTGTTGTATGTTAAAGTTTATTATTGTTGTATGTTAAAATTTATTATTGTTGTATGTTGAAATTTATTATTGTTGTATGTTAAAGTTTATTATTGTTGTATGTTGAAATTTACATTGTTGTATGTTGAAATTTATTATTGTTGTATGTTGAAATTTATTATTGTTGTATGTTGAAATTTATTATTGTTGTATGTTAAAGTTTATTATTGTTGTATGTTGAAATTTATTATTGTTGTATGTTAAAATTTATTATTGTATATTTGCTACTAGAAATCTTAAAAATGAATATTTTAAAAAATCTACTAGATATTTATCTAGACATTTAAAAATAAATATTTCTAAAAGATATTTATAAGCTACTAGACATTTAAAAAAATATCCCTATTTTTATGAATTCAAGTATTTTATTACAAACAGATAATGAAAAAGAAATAAAATTAGACACCATTTGTAAAATTAAGTGTATTAAACATTTATTTACTATAGAATTTAATTATCTTTATATTGTCACTGATAAAATAAGGAAATATAAATTAAGTAATAATACTTTATTATTAGAATTAGATATTAAAAATAAGGTAGATTTTATTTCTGTAATTAATAACGAAATTTACTGTTCTGGGGATGGCCGCCTTACAAAAAATATGTCAGAGAATATTTTATTGGAAGATACAGTACTAGGACTTAGTAAAGTAAAGGATATGCTTGGAATTCAATATTCTAGTAGGCTAGTTTTATATGACAAAAATTTAATAAAAAAAGAAGAATACAAATGTTCTACATATTTTTATGATGAAGGGTTACTTATTCTTGCATATAAGAATCTTTTACAAATTAAATGTAATTCTGTTCTAGAAGTTTATTTAGAAGAAGATATTACTTGTGTGACAGCTGATGTTTTATTTACAAAGGTGTTGTGTGGTACAATAAGTGGTAAAATATATCAAATAAATATGGATGGATCACTAAATAAAGTATTAGATTACCACCAATCAAGTGTTAAAAGTATTAAATTGAGTGTTTGTAATAAATACATTTATTCTGTGGATATTAACGGTGAATTATTGGTGTGGGACAGCGTTGTAATTGATAGGGCGATGATAGGAGACATAAAAAATATAGAAATTTATTTATAAAATATTATATATTTACTTAATTTAGGATGTGTGTATGTTTTTTACACTATTAATTTCTTTTACTTTACTGTTTCACATTTATTTTTTATTCTTGTTTTTTATTTTAACCTTTTCTGTATTTTAAAGTTCTACATTTTAACGTTTTCTGTATTTTAAAGTTCTACATTTTAACCTTTTCTATATTTTAAAAGTTCTATTTTAACCTTTTCTGTATTTTAAAGTTCTACATTTTAACGTTTTGCTGTATTTTTTATTCTTGTTTTATATTTTTAACATTTCTGCTAATCTGTATGTTAAATATATAACAAATCATAATTATCAGATAATTAATATTCTTACATTTGTTTTAAATAAACCCATGTTTTCTAATAACCATACTATTAGTAATAACATCCCGTTTTATATTTTCAATCTTTTTGCTTTTTCTTTACTTTTCTGTTTCTTTTTACCTTTCTTTATAAACAAGTTCTAAAAACACATATACAATTTTTATAAAAATCTTTTTAATGCCCTTTTATGAACGATCCAGAATATAAATTTAAACTTATAATCATCGGAGAAAGTAATGTTGGTAAAACTGCACTACTAAGAAAATATAAAACAGACGAGTTTCATGAATCATTACTGTCTACGATTGGCATCGACACTGTATCAAAAAAAATATTTGTAAATAAAAAACCCGTTTTACTTAACATTTGGGATACCGCAGGACAGGAAAGGTTTTTTAGTATCACAAAATCATATTATAGAAATGCTGATGGGATATTTTTAGTGTTTGATTTGTCGGTGGAAAACACCCTTAAAAGTGTAAATCGGTGGTACAAAAATGTAATAAGTGAGACAGGTGATGTACCAATATTTCTTATAGGAAATAAAAGAGATCTAATAGATGATATTAATCATGAAATTATAAAAAGTAAATTGCCTGTAAATATGAAATATTACTCTACTAGTGCTAAATACGGATTAAATGTAAGTAAAATATTTGAAGAGATGAGTAAAGTTTTATTAAAAAACGTGAAAAAAAAACAGGGCAGTGGTAGTGAAAAAATAACTTTAAAAAAGAAAAAAAAGAAATCGTGTTGTTAAAATTTTATAAATTTATTGATGTGTTGTTAAAACTTTATAAATTTATTAATTAAATTTGGTTTTTTGTTAATTAAATTTACTTATTTATTAATTAAATTAAGTTATTTATTAATTAAATTTACTTATTTGTTAATTAAATTTAGTTATTTATTAATATATTATTTTTTGTTAATATATTGGTTAATGTAGTGATAGTAATTTTTTATTGGAAAGACGTGCTACAAAAAATCTTTAAATCTTTTGATATGCTAATCTATTTATTACTAGCACAATCTAAAAAAATTATTATTACACCGTACAACGATTATGAGAATCACTTAGTGATCGTAGATAATTTAGTAAGAATGTCATATGAATACACCGATAATGACGAATTCTACGTCGGTCAAGAAATGACTACAATTAGTCAAGGAGGTAAAAATATTTGTGGAAAATTAAGCGATCCAGGGGTAGTGACTTGTACACACCAAGATAAACGAATGCGCTTTAAATTTGTACGTTTTAATAATTACGAAAATATTATTTCTGACGACGATTTATGCTTGACATTACATAGGTACGATAATCTAAGGAGTGGAAATTTTTTAAATTTGTCGCATTGTGATGGATCTGAAAAGCAGAAATTTATGCACTGGCGGGTAGTAAATACCAATGAAGAACAACTTGATGGAACTTATATACCAAGAAATCAAAATTAAAAGTAATTTTTAAAAAAACTCATTTCTAAAAAAGTTGGCTTAATAAACACACCAAAAATATTTATTACTTATTAAATAAATTATTTTATTAATTGTCAATAATGAATCTCAAAGCCTATATAAAATGAATGGCGTAGGGATAGTCCCTAAAAAAAGGGACGGAAATGACTAATAAATTCGCAAGAAGCAAAATAAAAATAATTTTGAATTTTTTTTACACATGTGTATATTGAATTGAAAAACTTAGAAGATGAGGAAATCATAATTTTTTTGTGGTGCAGATTATACCATCAACGCTGCAGAGTAGCACAAAAGGGGAAATTTTAAATAACATGTAGAAAATTTGTAAATATACGCTTTCAAGCAAATTAAGATCTAAAAAACGAGCGTATTGTTTTCAAAACTTTTTAAAAAATAAATTTATAATGCTACAGCATAATTCAATGACCAAACGGGGCGTGATAGACTTTTTTTATACTTCAAATATTTACATATGGTATAATACGTGCATTAATTCATTCTATTATTAATTAATGTTTAGTTTGTTAGGCATGGAGAAAGCAAGCCATTCATACCCTAATTGCGTCAATAATAGTGTAATTTTTTAGGGAACGTTATAAAGAAGATCTAATTAATTTCGATTGATATTTGTTGCCCAAATAATGGCCATAAGTGGTTATTTGTATTGGTTTCTTTATTAAAAATACTGTTAGACTTTTTTGTTTGAAAAGAATGTTTTAGCTGTTAGTCATGCGTTTAGTGGCGTGTTCAGAACTTTTTGACCTCATTAACGTTTTATACAGACAATAGTAGCGAATTTTGCAATATGGGTGTATCAAATATATGGGGTGAATTTAACATTAAGGATGTTAAAGGTAAATTACGATACCTATTGATCCAATGTCAGGTAGAGTGATGCAATAAACCATCAAATACATTATAGGTCTACTTTGCGTACAAACGGTATGAAGGGTATATGGACTGAAATTAGAGAACTTATTACATATTCTTAGGCATTTGACTACTTTACAGACACTGATGGCTCTAATTTTTGGCAGATAAATTTGTAGAGGGCCAACAAATTGTATCGTTTTTTAATAGATGAAATATGAATTTAGACCATAGAGACGTAGGCAGTACAAAACCACTGCCAATTTTAGATGAAAAATAAATTTACCTAATATCTAGCTGGACATAATAACCTCTAACGAACAAAATAAAATTAATCCAAAGAGTTGCAGAAAGAATGATAAGAAGGAGCAGGTGGCGATTTGATTGTTTTGATTTTAAAATTGGCAACGTAAAATAACAAGACCAAGTCTTGATACCAATTTATCAACAAGGTGTAGATCCTTTTATGAGCATCTTGATACTTCAGTATAATAATGCCGGATATTATTCAGGCCAATTAAGTAAAACTTAAGGGAGAAGATAATTCTTATAATACATTAAAAAATTTAATAAATATATCTTATTTAGTATTTTTTATATTTTTAAAAATTACCATGGTTAATGATATAATATATTGCTGTTTTATTTAATTAATTTGTTAATTCTTTATTCTCGGAATTCATTGTCTGCAAAAAAAATAATCAAGTTATATTTAAGGTAAACATTGTGTTTCGGCTAAGAACTTATGGCTGAGCGCTATTTATAAAGTTGAGGAATTATAGATTATTAATATTTAACAACAAAATAGGTTCATTAAAAATACCATTTTAAACAAAATTACTTTATTAAACGTTAATCACAATTAAGCAAATTAGCAAAGTTGGTAATATCCTTTGAATCTCGAAAATTGTCTTCTTGTCCACGGTACAAATCCCAAATTAGCTTAGTTAATTAAAAAGATATTTCCGATTCGCTAAGATTAGAAACTTAAAAATTTAGTATTTAGGTTTTAGGCAAATCTTATAAGATTCTATATAAAATAAAATTATCAGTTGCTATAGCAGTCAACCGAAATGGCCAGTGACATGGAGATGCCATATGTTAAAAAAGCAGATATTTTTTGACATTTACACTCAGAGATCCAAGATATTTTTCGATTTAACGCTCGGAAATACAAGATATTTTTAACAATTATACTTTGAGATGTAAAATATATTTCGATTTAACGCTCGGAAATACAAACCAGGAAGCTAATTTACTAAAAATAATTATTGTACGTGAATATTCTTTATCACTAGAAAACAATATTTAAAACATTTAATTATTTCTGTATAAACATCCCTTACTGTTATTGCTTCTCCTGTAATACATATATATCCATTAATTCCTACACAACACTTAAAATTATATTTTTTCCCTATTTTATACAAAAAATCGTCAACATATAGCATTTGACACATCCACACTTTAATTTTAAATACATACCCGTCAAGTTTACCGAATCCTTCGCCAACACACGATAAAATGGGCTCTGCGCCTGATTCAATAATTCTACAAAGAAGCCAATCATCTTTTTTTATATCAGGCTTGTTACGTTTACTGGCATTAGTAAAACTAAGTACTGGTAGAATGCCTATATATGTATCTAAATCTAGTTTATAATAATCTGCACAGCTGTAGATAACTCTACCTATTACAATATCATCTATATAAGGGAAATATCTACTGGTTTTTGATATAACAAAAAGATGGTTTTGTACTCTACACAGTGTGCCATAAACATATGATTTAATTTTATTATCTTCTTTGTACAATCCTAAAGAATAAGAGCATTTTTCTTTTAGTTCATCGCCAGGGGCTACTGTACGAATTTTCGTGAATCTCATTTTAAAAAATGGGGTGATACACAAAATATATTGTAGTTTTGTACAAAAGGTACGTTTATTTGCGCTTTTTGATTGTAAAATAAATTTATTAGTACAAGATCCTTTTACAAATGTTTTCTAAACATTGACTCCTTAAGATACAAAATAAATTTAAAAAAAGTGCTTGATGGTAAGTAAAATGATGTATAAATTATTTTAGCAACTAAATGCTTTTGCAATTTTTTTCAAAAAATAAGGAAACTTTAAAAGGCGCGTAATGGAAACAAAATGGTGTATTAGGCTATTCTGGGAATTGAATATTTTTTACAAAATTTTTAAAGAATATATTTACATTGTGATGATCGTGGCTATCAAATTATAACCAAGGAAAATTCTTATTGACTACTAAAAATATATTAAAATTATTTAATTAATGAAAAGGGGGTGGAAAAGCTAAACAAAATTTACAGCGACAATGAGAGTTTTTTTATGTATAAATAATAAAATTATTTTTGTAACAAAATTTAAAAATGATAGTTTTTTATAAAATCAAAAAAAACACAAAGATTTTTTTTGTAAAAATTGCGTAAAACGTCACGCATAGCTACGTTTATCGTAACTTAAACGTGTTTTATAAAAATATACTACACCTCTCTAGTTCTTTTATTTTCTAGTGTAATAACTATTTATCATTTATTTATTTTTTTGACAAACTTTTTATAAATCTTAGTAGTGTTTACACATATAGCTCATCAAATTGTTAAAAAAGTTTAATATATTTATATAAAAGATAAGAGCATTTTTAATTTATTTTTGATTAATATGATAAAAATAATTAAAAAAAATGATTTACAAACTATTTATTTGTATGTTTAAAAATTTATTAATTTAATAAATTTACCCTATGCTTCTATTAATAAATATTATTGCTTGTTCTTATAATAATTACAATTATGAAAAGAAATTAACTACGACTAAGCAGGTCTCTAATAATTCAAGTTATTGTGTAGATCAAAGATTTAATGAACTAGAACAAAATAGTCATAATTTTACAAATGTAAATAAATCGTCCGTTTTTTTAGGAGAACCAGATTGTACATTTTTTAATGATCTTTCCAAAACGTGTAATCAACAAAAACAGTGTACAACCGAACCATTAAATACTAGTGGTGCACAGTCACTAAATTTTAATACAGCTGAAAGCCATTCCGATGACACATATTTAATTAACCAACATAAAAAACTCGTACAGTACAACGGCCTTCTAAGTTATTTAATTGCTAAATGGTTTAAACTTGATTCTAAGTTTAATTATAAAAACTATAGACTTCAAATGTTAAGAGGTAATTTTTCCAAATCGTATGATGAATATGTATTACTTACAAATAAATGGGAATATTGTTGGAAACAAATAGCATTTGATTATGGAACTAGATTTAACACTTTAGTTAAAACTCTAAAGATGGCACAAAATATTACGGATATTATAACAGGATATATAAGGTTTTTACAATTATTATCTAAAAACTGTATGAGTTTAGCATCAACTAATTTCAGGGAGGATATTTATTATAAAGAAAAAATTATTACACTCCTGTATAATAGAGAGAAAATTAAAATATTGCACGACAGATTTAACTTAAAAAATATAATAGATACTATAAGTTATCTCTTAAATATAAAAGCAGTTAATTCTGGACAGAAAACTTTGGTTTTAGATATTTTACGATCAATTTGGTTAAGTATTTCTAAGGCGGAAGAAGTTTATAAAGAAATTATTGTTTTTAACTGTTTTCAAGTAAAGTTAAATCAAAAATAAATAATTATTAATTTAACAAAAAAATAAAAGTTTTTTAAAAATTTAATAATCTCTCAATTTCTTCTTTCATGTACATATCACTACACTCCATATTTTTTATAATCTCCTTTATTTCATCATCGAGATCTTCTTTACTTAAAATACTTAGTACTTTAATTCTCACATTTATTACTTTGTCATTAAGTAAATTTTTAATAAATTTAGTACCATGTTTTTTATCAAATTCTTTAAAAGCCTCCACTAATGTAATCCTTACTAAATAAGACGACTGTAATAAACACTCTAACCTTTCTTGGAGTTCTATACTCCATTCCGCTTTATTTATTAAATCTTTTAATACACCTCCTGCCCTATTTCTTACTTCATAGACAGGATCTGTTAAATATTTGAATAGAATATCTAATAAACATCTTTGAACCAACACATCGTTGAAATTTAGAATATGGGATATTGTTTCTAATATTTCTATTTTAACTCTCCATGTATTGTTTTTTGGTAGACTATTAATTATTGGTAGACTTATCCTCTCATAAATATCTTCACGATGAATACAAAGAAGCTCTTTCCTCACTATCCATGACGGGTCATTTACTATATTATCTAGTAAATCATCATACATATTTCCTATTTTCCTAACCATTAAACTTCTAACATTCTCACTGGTGTCAGTTAAAAAAATTTCAGCATATTTTTTAAAATCAGTAAGACAATCTATTTCTTTGACAAGAGCTATTCTAACAGATTCTTCTGGATCTTTACATAAAGTATTATATAAATAGTATCTATCTTCTAAACTGAAGTAAGATACTTTTTTTACCAGACTAAGTCTTTTTCTCCATGACTTAGACAGGCTTATCTCTGACATAAGAAATGTCTTCTGTTTAATAAAAATTAAAACATCAGGAACAAGACACTGAATATAATCATATTGATGATTATTTAACGCTAAGGCAATATCCAATAACTCATTATCAGAAAATGGGAGGGCTTCATAGAACTGTAGTGATAAACAGGCCTCTTTTACAACTACACCTATGTTATCATTAAAAGCTTTTTTAAGATACATTTTTGTATCGGGGATTTCAATAATTATTTGTGGTACTGCGCATCGCTGATTATAAAACTTACTTGATTGTAATTCATTTATAGTATCTTGTACAAGATGTGGGTGATGAATCAATATATTCTGTATAACTTCTATTGTACTGCTTCTGTTTTCTATTAACAAAAGTGTACAAATAGGAAGTATTTCTGGGGATATAGGTGCATTTGACTTTAGATATGAAATAAGTTTATAAGTGATTTCTTTTTCTTTACCTATTATTGACTGTAATTTAAGAATATCAGGTACTTGAAAGTTTGTAAAATCAATATTTTCCATGGGGTATTAAACTAATAGGAAAAAAATATTTAAAAATATTTAAATGTAACACAAAAGCATGATAGGTCACTTAACATTCTAAAAATGTTGATAAATATTTTACCTTTTTGAACATAAGTAAAAACAATAGAATGTAAGTTTTTAGATAAAACAATTTTCTAAAATACAATAAACTATCAATTCTAAAAAACAGATTACTATTTCTGTTTACTGCAAATTTTGAAAGTCAAGTATTACGTCTGGTTGTATAATGCATATAATCATATTACTAATAACATAGTATATATACTTTTAAACAAATTATTCTATATTTTTTATATATCCCTACATATGCAATTTACCACGACTAAATATTTTACTGATCAGAAAATATTCACCATTCATATTAATAAGAATGTGTATATAGGAGGAACATCTACATGTCTGCTAGATGTAACAGTTAATAAAATTTTATATAAACATAATAAATCTGTAACACATATATCTAGTAGTAGAAAATATTTAACAAGTAGTAGTTATGATTGTACTGCCTCTATATTTCTTCTAAACGCCAAAGAACTAGAGGATGTCATAGAAGGCCCAGATACAGAGATAAAATGTATTAGTATTGATCCTCTAAATAAATGGATAGCTTTAGCTACAAGAGGTAAATCTGTTTGGGTGTGTCGAATTGGTGAAAATATAGAAATAAATAATATACTAGAAGATCACACTGAAGATGTAAAAGGATGTCTTTTCCATGAAGATATGCTTTTTTCATTCGGATATGATAATTCTATTAAATGTTACAAATATTTTAAAATGGATGAAAGTTGGGAGATGGTCCAAAGTATTAGTGAGAATGATACTGTTTGGAATCTGGCATTTATTGATGAAAAAATGTTTTCTTGTAATGGACAAGGGGAAGTATCTCTATACATTCTTGATAAAGGATGGACAATTGTCAGAAAAAAGAAATTGAGTAATTTACCTATATTTGCTTTATGCGCATATAAAAATATGATTATTTGTGGAATAGGTTTTGGAAATTTAATTTTTATGAATACAGATCTAGAGGTGGTTTATGTTATTAATAAACTACATGACAATTTCATAAACTGTATCTATTGGTCTGAAGAAGATGATATGATAGGCACTTGCAGTGATGATATGACATATTGTCTAATAAGTGAAAAAAAATATTTATAATTTTATGCAGATAATTATTTTATTTATTATTGGTTGTTTGTTTGTTTAACAACAAACTACACACAATAAGACAAATTTATAAATCTTTTTACTTTTCCTAATTTTTTTATAAATATAAAATTTTTTTTACCCCCAATGAGAAAAACAAATAGCTTAGCAATAAGTAATTTGGGCGATTCAATATCTGTTTTACAGATTGCTAACGCATTCTCAAAATATGAACATAAAATGTAAGTGAAGAAAATTAATTCCTTGGTTCGTGAATCTGAACCTGTGATGATAAAAATGTCAGATACTAACCTCAGTTCTAATATAAACATTAAAGATGTTAAAAGGAGAGATGGTACTAATAAGATTGTTGGTACTATTGAGTTTAAGGATACTGATTGTGTAGAGGAAGCTTGTGGTGAAGGAAAAGTGAATATTGAAGGACAGTCTTACAATCTTTATTTTGCTAAAAGTCAGTCTAACAAGGAAAAAGTAATAATTAGTGATAAGAAAGTTTATATTAAAGGACTACCAAAAGACATAGAAGAGTCAGAACTGGCTGATATGCTTGGTAAATGCAAGATTTCTACTACATCAAGCGGGTCTCATATTGTATTTGCAGAGTTTGATACACCTGAGGAGCAGAAAACTGCTTTGGATAAACTTGAGAAAATGGAGTTTAATGGACGAAGGGTAAAAGCTCGAAAGGCATTAGAGAAGGTTTATACTCTAAAGCCTAAAGGTAGAAAAGATAAATCTGGTACCTATTAAATTAGTGATTTTATATTTTTTTAAATTTTATTTATAAGTTATTTTTTATTTATGGACTTTTATATAATTGAAATCTTTCGTAAATTTTAATAATTAATTAATTTGAATTATTTGTTTAAATAATGTTTTTAAAGTTTTCATCTTGGGTTGCTTTTTTAATATAACTAATGATATAAATAATTAATAAAATATTTTTTTCAAGTTAACATATTATTATGTATAGATTGTTTTATATTTCAATATAAGTTAAAGTAAAAAAAACTATTTAATGGTGTATGCTTAAATATTGCTTTCAAACTTGTTTAATTTTTCAAAATTAATTAATTTCGCTAGAAAAATTATTTTTTCAAAAATAAAATAAATTAAATATTAACAATTTGTTGAAATATCACAAACGTTTAACAATATATTAATTTTCATAATCAGGTTTTGTTTACAAAAATAATTTTTTAATATAAATAAAAAAATTTAAATTACACCCCTATGAATGAAAACATAAATGTTTTGTCAAACTGTGGTTCAAGGATTTTTGAATTATTAAGCAATGAGAAAAAGGATGAAAGCTTTGTGAGTGCCCCATATGCTATCACTATAATTCTTAGCATGTTAGCCAATGGATTAAAAAATAATAGTAGAAAACAGATTGAGACTTTTTTACAGTGCGAATCCTCTCTAACTAAATTTAATGATACGGTTAAAAATATTATTACAGTATTACAAGAGTCAAAAGATGAGAATAAGCCTAAAGAAAAAGAATTTGTTGTTAAAAATTTTGTTTTCTATAGAGATAATATCAGGTTGCAAAAGAAATTTGAAGAGACAATGATTAATAACTATTTCTCTACTATTGATAGTTTTGCTTTTTCTAATTTAAATGCTTCAGTATACAAGATAAATGATTGTATTAGGAAATCCACTTTTGATATGGTACCAAGTTATTTGGATAGTATACCACCGGATACTACTGCAATGATAATAAATACAGTATATTTTAAAAGCTTCTGGGCAGCACCATTTACCGACCCGGCGCTATTTGAAGATTTTATTAATAATGACGAAGTTAGTTCAGTGAACATGATGACGCAAAACAATACGTTCCCGATCGTTAATAATGAACTATATCAAGCCGTACAAATGGCTTATGAAAATTCTGATTTTTCTTTAGTAGCAATTGTGCCTCAAAAAGATAAATCACTGAGTGAAATTAATAAGAAAATAAATGAACAAGGAATAGCAAAAATAATTAATGACATGGAAAATCGTTATATAAATTTGAAATTTCCTAAATTTAGGACTAAATCCAATTTCGATCTCAATGATAATCTAAGAAAACTAGGACTTAATGAAGTATTTGACAATCCTGATTTCTCAAATATGTTTACTGTAACGAATAAAGACTATCCTTTGATTAAACAACTCGCAATTATTGACATTAATGAAAATGGTACTGTAGCTACAGCAGTAACATCTGCTTTTATATGTTTTCGATCACTACCAATACCACCTGAAGTTGAGATCCACTTTAATAGACCTTTTCTATATTTTCTAGTAAAAAAAATTGAAATTAGCGATAAAGTATCCTCTTACATGACAATATTTATGGGACAGTTTACTGGAGAAAAACAATAAAAGGTTTTTTATGATTTATAAGTTAAAGGCTAGTTATTTATATTTCTAGCACATGTATATACATCTTTTTATAATTCTCTTTTTGTTTTACCTTATCTATAATTTATTATAAGTTTTTAAATTTAAAGTAAACTTTTATGGAAAATTAAAATAATTTATAGATGTATTTTAAACTATAAAGAATATCAAAAGTTAGTACAAACAAATTATTAAAGTAGTTCTTTTGTTAAATAAAAACTTTATATGTCATAAAGGGCTAAGTATATTTTTATTAAAGTCAAAATAATGAAAAATAAAGCCCCCAGAAATTTTTAAAACTTTTTCTTAATTTATTTTTAAAAATTCTGCATTAATTAAAAGCAGAAAGAAATTAATTTTACAAAAAAATATTTTGTGTAAATAATGTTTTCTCTTGATTATGCCGTATTTTTTTGTATTTAATTAATTAAAAACACATTATTAAAATTACAAAAAACACCGCTTACTGATAAAACAACAACTAATAATTTTATCTATTTGTAATAATATATTTAGATAAAGTTTCAATTGCAAATAGTGTTACAAAATATTTTATTCTTAACTGATACCCCTTTATCAATGAAAATCTGCAATCAGAATTTTTAAATAATTAAATTAAAAAAATGTTTAATTTTTTATTTTTTAAGTATTACAATAAAAAATGCTAATTGATTTGTATAAATTATTTAAGTAAGTATAGATTTTCTCTAAAAATTTCCTTTTTTAGCAAAAATTAAATAAAAAGCACAACGTTTACTTTAAAATTTACAACGTTTTATAAATCATTACATTTTTGTTAATTTATCCATAATAATTTGTGGTTTAAAACTTTATTAAATTTAATACCCCATGTTGCAAGTAATAGTTGACAGAATTTTACTTGAATTAAGCTTTTTATTTAAAATGAAGTATATGTTAGTGCAGAATAATCGGGAAGACAAAATACAATTGAAAAATAAAGAAATCTATTATCTATTTAGTGAGGGTCTATATGTTGTAAAATATCATATAAATAAAATTTGGGAGCAGGTTATTTTAGCAAGCGATATAGTAACAAACTTATCTGAAGAGGATATTATTACGGCGCTGTATGTACATTTATCTTTAATAGATGGCAGTATGACACGGGAAGAAGCATACGATAAACTAGTTTATTTATTTAATAAAATTTTGGAAATATTTAACAACTGGTTAAGATTATTTAGATCTAGAAATAACGAAAATAGGTTGACGAGCGTGTCACCTGTAGATGATAAAAAGTTGTTATTGAATTCGATCTCTAAAAATTCGATGCTTATTGAAAATATGAAAAAACAACTAAAATTGGCTTATTAAAGCAGTAAATATTTTTGTGAAAGTATTTTTTTATGAATAGGCACTACAAATGCGTAACTTTCACTTATTTTTTTTTATTAAATACATTGTTCTTAAGAAGAGCTTAAATGGCTCTTTAAGAGATCTACATTTTATTAAAAAAAATTTAATACTTTTAATTTTCTAATGGCACCTTTCTTTTTGTTAAAGTTTCATCACTTAAAGTACACTATAAAGTACAGCTTTTTAATAAAAGTCGATAATTTAATACATGACAGTACTTGCATTCTTCTACTTTTTTTATCGCAAATAAAGCTTAAAAATTATTACTTCAATTTAAAATACGTTTCAAAGTCAGTAACAAACAGCGTTTAGCTCTAAAATCTTATCTTAAGTATTTAAAACTGTTATAGAACAATAGCATAGATTTTTAGAAGTAAAACATTTAAAAGTCCACTAAATATAAAACAGTAAATACTAACTTAAAATTTTATTATTCTTTAGCGTCTAATACCACGATTTTATCGGGTAATAAAGTACTTGGTCCTAAAATACCTTCTGGATCATGAGGTAACATAATTGATACTTGTATTCCTATTACTCCCTGCTTGGTATTAACAGTTGTAATATGCTTCTTAACATAATCTCTAGAAGGCTGTCCACTCTTTATTACTACTCCTTCTAAAAATTTCTTGGTACAAGCTCTTAAACCTTTAAGCTTCCCTGAAATAGTTACTAAACATCCTGTAGCACCTGCAAATTTAGTATTCTTCAATACCAAGTTGGCCGCTCTTTTATGAGGAATATTAGCAAGCATTTTTTCTCTAATAAGATTGGCTTGGTAAACAGGACATAATCCTTTTTCTACTACTTTATCGATAATTACTACTACATTAGAGTCTGGTAAACTTAGTCTACTGGCTACTAGATGTTGAATCTGAACAATCTTCCACTTTTTGTCTCCTATTAATTCTTGCGGTTTAACTACCTTCAATATGACCTTAACTGGACTTTCTTCAAGTCTTAATTCTAATGAACTAAATCCTTCGTTAATAAGACACTTCTCGAACAGCTCTTTAAGTTCTGCAAAAATCATTCCATCAGCTATAAACTTTTTTAGAATATTATCGTTGCCCATTGGGGGGTAAAATTTGAAAAAATATTTGCAAGATTTACCCGTCAAAAAAACAAAAGGCCCTTTGTACTTATATGGATGAGTTTAAAAAGATTGAAGAACAAAGAAAAAGAATAGTAAAGCAGATGACTAAGGAAAATATTACAAGAAGAGAAGAAAAATTTAAAGAATTAGAACGAAAAAAATTTATAATAAACAATACTGCATTACAGTCACAAGTCACAGAAAATAATGATATAAATACTAATATTATCAATCCATGTCAGCATCTAATAAAAAACGAACAAGCTAAATATTCAGTTTTATCGTACGAACCTACTGTTGCAGAAGATTCTAGTTTTGATAAAAATGTTTTTGAATTTAATGTCAATTTTGAAGATTACTATATAAAAAACTATCTGTTTTTGTCGCATTATTTTGTTATTGAAAAACAGATTCAAAATGAAAAAGATTTGACACCTAGATCTGAACTTCTTAAAATAAAAATAGAAGTCAACAAAAGGTTAAATCAACTTAATAATGATTATGATAAAATTTATACACTTTATAGATTTCTTAACAAATATTCGCATTCTAAAGTATTTTTAGAAACTTTCGTTCTAAAAATTTTAGAACAATCTATAATACAAGTGTCTAGATATTATGAATCATATAGACAGTACAGTTTGTGTTTTAAATTTTTGTATAATGATGATTTATTTACTTTTTATAAAATTAAACTGTTTAGCAAAAAAGCGAGCGAGGAGGGATTAAAGGGATTATATGCTGTATTTTTTGGCGTTATAAAGGAATGTGACTTGTCTGAAGAGGCGTGGGCATTTTCTGCTGGTTTTTTAAATGTTCAAAATTCAGAATTTGTTATTTTAGAAATTTACTTAGATATTCTAGGAGAATATGTTATAGATAAATTTAACAGAAGGGCGTATAAACTATTTCGCTACATTAAAAATTATACACTACCAACGATCAAAAATCTAGCGCACAAATACAAAATAGAAAAACTTATAGACAGATTGTTAAATTTATCTTAATTTATTTGTGTATAAAACTTATTTGATTATATTTAAATTATAAAACTTTTTTATCTGTTTTAAGACAAAAAAATTATTGTATATACATTAATCTTTGTGTGTTTCGATGTAAAACAAAATTGGCATTAAAATACTTAAATTAAATATATAAGTTTTTTCTTTTAAAATATACAACAAGTTTAATGGTTTTTTTTTCAATAATTTTAAATTTTTAATAGTCACGCTTACAGATTATGTTCACACAGTATAATAGACACCATTGTTTCTAACAACTTTTGAATTCTTTCAGCTACAGTTCACTTATTGCAGCGTCTCGTACAAAAATTATTTAAAAATAAAAATTTAATAAAAATCTTTAAGTAAATCATTATCCTTCAATGATTCTCCACAATTATAACAAACTATCAGTAATTTTGGAAAAATAGTCATCCAATAATCAATAAATCCGTTTGGAAAACTTTTATAAATTTCTTGAACTACTTCTGGAATTTGATTATAATGTCTTCCTTTATTTCTAATAACCCTAATTAAATCTCGAGCATTATTGTAATTATAATATCTAAAAACTTCCAATTCATCTTTAACAATATCATCAAGATAATTGTCCCATGGCATTTCAAAAATTCTATTTTTATTCCGCTCGAGTCTACGAATCTGAGATGAAGATCCTTCAACCAAATCCGAAAAATTTGCTAGAAAATTAAAAATCCTTTCTTGTGACCAAAAATATGGATGCTTAGCTAATTTAGCCATTGTAGTTTTATTTTTTATTGTGTGATAAATTAAATCATGCTCAAGAGAATTTACTGTACGTATTTTATATCTACGAATTTTCATATTTTGTTCTAATTCTTCTAATTGTTCTCTAGTATAATTTTTAAGTGTAACGGTTTTATTATCGACAGAAAATTCTTTTTTATAATCATCATTCGTTCTGTAAACAAATTTATAAGTTTCATTATCATCAACTAATGTTTCATACGGATGATATCCTGTTATAAAATAATGTAAAATAACACCTACAGATTGCAAATCTTGCGAAAATTCATCAGAATCGGTAGTACAAACATACCATCCTGTGTTATCACTCTGTGAACCAATGTTAAATAAGACAATGCGACCGTTTTTTCTTCTAATGTTATTTGGTGTAAAGTTTTTATAAACCAAATTTTGCTCATGTAAGTACGCAATTACCTGTGTAAACTGTAACAAATCTCCTTTTGTCATATGTTTTACCCGATCAGAATACTCGAAAACCATGTACGGCCTGTAAAGTCCTTTATCATAATATAAATTTTTTTTAATTGAAGAATGATCAAGTCTGCCTAGAAGACCAATTTCATCATAAAAAGAATTATTCTTGTGTTTGTACTTTTTAATAATTGCTGGCGCATTGTTGTAAGTTCCATAATAGATTGTGTAAAATTCGGTTTCGTAATCTATATTCATTAACTTTATTTTTTTCTGTTTATTATACCAAAGTAATAGTACTGGTAAAGCAAGTAAAATCAAATATTTAAAATTGTATACTTTTAAAAATACAACTTTAGGTGTATAAAGTTGTAAATTGTTATTAGTATAAATTTTATTCATATAAGTTACACCATTATAATCGATGGTATCATAAACTGCAACTATATTCTCGTTAAACGTATAAATTTTATCATATAATCTTATAGTATTGCCTTTAATAGACAAACATTTACTTAATGAAAATGGAAAATAAACGTAAGAAAATGTTTCAATTCTTGTATATAGTGTACGACTATCTATAATTTTTAAATCTAAAAAAACAAGAAAAATTACTACATTGTGTTTTTTAATAGTTTCAGATCTTCTTTGCGTTTGAAATATAACGTGCTTATAAATTTTTGTCTCTTTTTCCAAACTGTCAATGTTAAATGAATAGTCTTCAAATACTATTAAACCGTCTGGTGATACAAGTATATTGTCTATTAGCAGTTTATTACTTGGCTGAATAGTATCGTTATCTGTTTCTTTACCACTAGTAAGTGCTGGTACATTCCGTTTAAGTTTGAAAAGTTCGATAGTTTCAACACTATTATCTGTAACGAAATGAAGAAAAAAATCTTCGGTTTGCACGATGTACAAAGCATTGCAAAAGATAAATAGTAGAACAGGAAACATACTTTAAGGGTAGATAAATTTAGAAATATTTATTGAATGCGATAAATAAGAATCATAAAATTTTTAATAAATTTTAACTAATTAAAGAATTTTCTAAAATGTCTTTAATATTGTTCGTTACCGATAATAGACCATACTTTTTTTCAAAATAAAGCTCAACACACTGTATATCTCTTTCCAAATATCTAACAGCATCTTTATGTGTGGTCTTTAAACTTTGTGGAAAATCAAGTACTTTTATACAATCATCTTTAACCATAACGTTAAACTCGTTAAAATCTCCATGTACATACCCTAAATTCCATAATTCTGCAATAAAGCCAATCATTTTTTTGTAGATAATTTCTGGATGCTCTAATTTCGTCATATAAAGTGGTTGATAATCAAGCAACTCCAAAACAATAATGTGGCGGTCAAAATCAAAAAATTTAGGAATATCGAGTTCTTGAAAGATTTCATAATATTGTACTTCTCTTTGACAAGATATTTTATTAATTTTGTACCAATCAATCTTTCCTTTTTGATAATCTCTTTTATTTTTTATTGATTTAAAGCTTGTCCTACCAAGCCTGTGTATTTTTAACACAACTTTTTGATTGTTATATATACCTTCCCATATGTCTGATTCCTTCCCAATTCCTATACGACAAGACAATTTAGACAATCCTTTTTGTCTAAGGGTATTCAAAGCGATGCAATCCATTCCACTTATCGTAAGCTTATAATTTGGTTTGTCATATTTTAAAAATTTCAGTTTTATTAAATCTTGTAAGTACATATTAACGTTTTGTACTTTTGACTTGTTTTTTATTGTATCCATGTCGGACTGTCTATTATGTGTATTGTGATCTTCAACAATTTCTAAAATCCTTAAGTGCTGTTTAGAAATTGTCCACACGCCATCAGTAGATAAAATCATATCAAGTGGGTCTAAAAAATATTTTTTTTCTACCCTTAAAATGGAAGCCAATTTACAACAGCAATTTTATGGTAAAGTTATAAAAAAAGCAGAAAGAGCAGGGTCAGCAGGCGCATTAACTTTAGTTAGAATAGAGTTGGCTGCTAATGGAAGAAAAATTAATAGATTTATTAAGGGACCGATCGAAGAAGGAGATACAGTTGCTTTATTAGAATGCGAAAGAGAACATCGCAAATTAAGATGAATAAATTTTATTATTTATTTCTTTTTTTGTTTCAATTAATTGTTTAAGATACTTTTTATATTCATTATGTTCTTCATTTACAGAAGTATCAGTTATTCGTTTCACTTCAACTTTATTGCCATCTTCATCAAAAATATATTTTTTATTCTGCGGAACATCTTGAAAAGTTAATAATTTTTTTTTAATTCTCATAATTTCTTCATCAACAAAAATCTTTTTTTTTGTAAGTTCGTCTTGTGTGTCATATTCAACAGTAGATAATTTGCCATTTATTGTAGTCAAAGAATTATACTTGAAAAAATATTCTTTACCAGTAACATTCTCTATTTCATTTTTTGCATCATTAATTATCTTTTTATTTTCTTTAATTTTTTTTAATCTAGAAATTAATTCACTCCTCTTCTCTAACCTGCCGTACTTAGCTCTGTGCTTAACTTGTTTTCTTTCGTAATAATTCCTTTTAAATGCCATTTTAAGGGCGAAACAAAAATTATATTGTTACACCGTTTTAAATTACTGGTATTTTTTAAAACAGCAAGTTTCACACTTTAATATTAGTATTCAAGGAGCCTGTATGTATGAACATATTGTTATATTTGATGTTAAGAAGTTGTAAAGATTTTTGTTCACCGGGATCGTCAATGTGTATAAATAACATGCTGAGCGTATGCGACGAAAATGGACATGTAGTGACAACTGATTGTCCAGATGATACGGAATGCAATCTTAACAATAAAAAAATGTCTTGTATGCCGAATACAAAAGAAAACTCAAAAAAATCTAAAAGTACTAATGGAGATTTGATGGAACAGTTAAAAAAATTATCTCGCGATAAAGAATTTGTAAAAAACTTGAAAAAGCAATTGAAAAAAGTAGATGAAGAAGAAAACGACGATGATGATACGGAAAGCAATAATGAAGAATCGGAATCGACTAAAGATGTTTCTGAGGAAGAGGAAGAAGACATAGAAGAGCCTTCAAGTGGTAGCCATAAAAAATCATCTAGAGAAAAAAAAGGCTCTAATTTAAAAGAGAAAAAACATAGTAAAAATAATGAAAATACTAGGAATAAGCAAAAAAAAAAAATGAGAAATATTAAAGTACTACATGAAAAAAATGGTGACAATGGAAAGAAAGGTAAAAAACAAGAAAATGCAAAGACCACGACTGTCACATATCATAAAGTGATTGAAAATCATTCTGCTCCCTCTACAGTTACAGTTTTCAAAACTATTACTCAAAAGGATAATATTAGCAACGTGGACGTACAATTAGTGCAAGCATCAGATAGATTTATTCAGCCTAGTGTACAACCAGAAGGATCAAAAAAAGGTTTAGGTTATCAGCCTTTTGTACAACCTTCTTCTGTTGGTGGGCATTTGGGAAACGGATATAATGCACCATCCCACGAAGCAACACAAACGAATGCAGGTGCCGCTCCACCTGTACATACATCAAAAGGTGAAGGTGGTGGTGCTACTAAAACAGAACATGGCGCTGGTGCGCCTATAAAAGCTTCAAATCTAAATGGAGGACATCAAAAAACAAAATTACAACAATCCTCTACTGGACTAACAATGAAAGGTAACGATGTAGCAGGAAAACCATCACAGGGTGAAGGAAACGGCGCAGCAGGAAAACCAACACAAGGTGGAGGAAGTGGCGCAGCAGGAAAACCAACACAAGGTGGAGGAAATGGTGCAGCAGGAAAACCAGCGCAGGGAGGAGGAAATGGCGCAGCAGGAAAATCATCACAGGGTGAAGGAAATGGCGCAGCAGGAAAACCAGCACAAGGCGGAGGAAATGGTGCAGCAGGAAAACCATCACAGGGTGAAGGAAACGGCGCAGCAGGAAAACCAGCACAAGACGGAGGAAATGGTGCAGCAGGAAAACCAGCACAAGGCGGAGGAAATGGTGCAGCAGGAAAACCAGCACAGGGTGGGGGAAATGGTGCAGCAGAAAAACCAGCACAGGGTGAGGGAAATGGTGCAGCAGAAAAACCAACACAAGCCGGGGAAAATGGCGCTGGAGGAAAACCAGCACAAGGTGGAGAGAATAAACCGTCTGGGGGTGACAAGCCTTCTGGTGAACAGGGAACTAAACCTGGTACAATTGGCGGAGGCACTGGCGAAGTTAATGTTACATCTGAACAAGTTTTTGAAGCCATGTCTAAACAAAATTTTAACCCCAAACAGGAATATGTCGATGCTGTTGTAAACGTTACAAATGAAGGATTTGATGATCTTAATATGGCAGCCATGTTTTTAGCCCAGTTAGCACATGAGTCCGGAGGTTTTGAGCACATAGAAGAAATTGATTGTAAAGGATCAACAAAATGTGCTGATCAATATGGTGGCTCTGAAGGAGCACCAGGTAAATCATATCATGGAAGAGGATTTATACAACTGTCATGGCCTGCTAATTACAAGGCAGCAGGTGAAGCATTAGGAATGGGAGATGAACTTTTTAATAATCCTGATTTGGTTTGCGAGGATCCTGAGCTTGGTGCAAAAGTTAGTTTATGGTTTTGGAAAGAAAACGTAGAAAATGCGCCCGGTGTTAGTGAGAATCATTTTGGCGCAACTACGAAAGCAATTAATGGTGCTTTGGAATGCACAGGATCTAATGTTGATAAAAGTAAAAAAAGATATGAAATTTATAAAGCTGTTGCAGAGGTTTTAGGAGTTAGTAATTTAGCAGATGAATCTGGATGTTATTAATTAAATTAATTTATTGTAAAATATATTCTTTTTTAATAAGTCTAATTTTAGATGCTTTCCAGCCTTTTAAAGATATAAAACTATCATCCGTGTTACAATTTAATAATTTAAGGGTATTAGAGACATCATCTGGTGTCATATTCAACCTTTGAGAGATATCATTGATTGAATATTCTTTACCATTGTTTCGTTCTAAAAAATTATAAACTTTCGCCTTCCAATATTTATTGTATAAAACTTCACCTTCAGAACTTAGAGGTCTTTCACACGTACCTTTTTTTAAAAAATAGCTTAAATCTACCAGCAATGTCCCGTAGCCTTTTTTTTGGCAATCAGGAAGTATAACTATACATGATAGATTGTTTTCTTTATTTAATACTTCTTCGCTAAAAAAGCCTATAAAGTTATCTTCGTCGTATAAAACATAGAAATTATAATTATCGATGTCCCAAAATAATGTTTTGTGAGAAATAAAACACTTTCCTAAAATACATAAATTTTGACAATAAGAAATATTAGAATAACCAAATATTTTATAAATGTGTAAATTATTTTCTTTGTAGATAAGAAACCTTCCAGGAACTTCTTTATCACATTTAAGTTTATGACGTTCATAACTTATGTTTTCAGAGTAAGAAAATAAACAGTCATTACAAAAATAAATTGAATCAGTTTTTTTTAAATTATATTGTGACGTTTTTAAGCTAAATTTCCGTGTACCTATTGTACAAACAGAAATCTTTGTATCTGAATTAACGTTGTACTCACAACCAATATGCCGTCTCTTAGTATTATTTTCTGTAATATTAGCAAAAAAATTTTCAATTTCTGAACATGAATGCAAAAACAAATCGTCTTTTGTAGTAACAATTTCGGGATTTGGTATATTTGTGTTATTTATAATCGTATCTTTTAAATTTTCTTCTTTTTTTCTAATATTTTCTTCTTTTTTATTTTCCATATCTTTTTTTACCGTTTAGGAATGGAAGAATATTTAGAAAGAAAAAAAGATTTACTAGATGAAATAAAAAAAATTGCAATACCTAATAGTACAATAAATGAACTTATTTCTATACATAAAGAAATTTTAACAAAGAAAGAATCAGTTTTAAATGTTAAAACATATAAGAATTATTTGAGATTAATAGAAAATTCAGAAAGTACTACAGATGATTGTGAGGTAAAGCATATTGAATCTGAACTTATTTGTCCTTTTCAACAAATAAAAATTGCTACACCTTTTAGAAATCACTGCAATCACGTTTATGAACGTGAGGGACTGGAAAAATATGTTAATGGTAGAAATATAAAGTGTCCTGTTCTTGGTTGTCATGCTATAGTAAAACTTAAATAAATTGAATTGTGGTGTTAAACGTTTATAAAATACTATATTTTATAGAAATCATCATGTATTTTACTTTTATTAATTAAAGCTTACATTTTCTTTAATGAAATTATATAAAATGTTCTGTTCTTGGTTGTTATGCTATAGTAAAACTTAAATAAATTGAATTGTGGTGTTAAACGTTTATAAAATACTATGTTTTATAGAAATCAGCATATATATTACTTTTATTAATTTAAAGCTTACATTTGTTTTAACGAAATTATATATTGATTTTACACAAAAAGGTGTATTTTGTTTTTTAAACATAAATTTAATTAACAAAAGCTATTTAAATTAAATTATAAACTATATTGTTAGGATAAAACGTGGGTTTATTCAAAAATTATTATTAATAAATCAGACATATTAATACTGCTGATTGACATGACTTCACCTTTATTGTCCTAAAATATTAAAGATAAATGAAAATGAAAGATTACATAACTTGGTTATGAAACATATGATTCATGGTCCCTGTGGG